CGTGTAAGACACGATCTGACTTTAATTACATTTGACTCGAGTGTTTCGTCAACTTAATGTGTTGCTTAAAATAATACTTCTGCATACAGTATGTGACACTGTGAGTGTTGCACGGCCAGATACTGTACGGCTCAAGAAGCTGACTCAGATAAGGAAATATATGATACATTATGATGTGATATGATATGAATGATAATGGGACACATCGACGTCTGGACTCACAGTGCCGCGGACTGTTCCTAATGTTACTCTGATCCGGTTACTTATGTTGTGGCAGATATTTAAGTAAGCTTTCTTAACGCTAATGTTATAATAGTCAGATTGCTCTGAAGATGGGAGGGGATATTCTATTAATGTTCACGTTCACACAGTCGGTGATTTTTGCCGGCCGTCTTTCCTGCAACGGCAGTTTTTCTGTATTTCCTTTCTCCTGTAATATGACTTGATCGCTTTAAACTCCGCACACTGAGCTCTGATTGGTCAGCAGGCGGTGCTTTCACTGAGTTGATCTCTTAGCCTGCAACCTAACCTGCTCCGGACCAGGTTAGCCGCTCAGCATAAGTTACCATGGAGATCTAGCCCGCTAAAAAGAGAACCAGCGCCGTAGGACCGGAAACCCCGAGTTTTCCCTGAAGTTAGCCCGCTAAGCGAAAATCCAGCTTCGTAGTACAGGCCTCATGTCAGGAGTTTTGCATGGTGTTTGAGATAAACAAAGCCTTGCAGTGTGTTGCTGCTGAGTTCCAGTTAATTTCGCAGTGCTGGCTGACTGAACAGGTTACCTGTGGCACATATTCACACCACAGATGGCTGTTTCTTTTTTCCTTCGGGTTGCTGCTTGTCTGTCCCACCTACATTCTATCAGAAAATAACAATAATAACGCAAACCGCAGGTGAGAAAAACATTGCTTCATAGTAATAAAACAGATGTGTCTTTGTAAACAATCCGAGAATATAAACGTTCCCTTATTGCTGCCACTGATAATAAAAAATAACTTTTGGATTCACAAGCAAGTCAGCTTTTTATTGTTGCCTTATTTTGCTCATTTTCACGTACAAATTAGTATTTAGTGTCTCTTCTGTGACATGAATATGCTTTAATGTTCAAAAATATATTTATTTGTCTCATACTTCCTGTGCTGCAGCACCTCTTTTCACCCTCCGTCTGAAACCAGAGCCCAGTCTGCTCTGATTGGTTAGCTGGTCGGCTCTGTTTTGATTGGTCAATCGCTTGGAGATGTCCCGCCCCTTAGCCTATCACGTAATATATGTTGATGTTGTTGTTGTGTTTTCCAAGGCAATAGAAGCGTGAGTGTTACGTAGTGATGTCACTAGTTCGCGAAATTAAACAAAGGAGTCCAATGGAAGCGTTTCAAGTGTGTGGGAGAGAAAACCCCTCTGGAGGGAACTATGGAATTTTAGCCTTTGGAGACCATTTACATGCACAAAAACCTATATAACGCACTACAGGAAAGAAAAACCAAAAAAAGCATAATAAGGCCTCTTTAAATTGTTTAAAACATTGGCCCTATAGTTTAATTTGACATACGCACATACACAGTCCTGCTTTTTCAAATACTCACTACAGCGCCTTGTGTGTATAAATCCACTGCTGAAAAAAGTCCCCATGGCCTGAAAATCACAGTGCCCATCTTTTTCGGGAAATTACTGAACCTCAAAAACGACAAACTATATATTTGTAGCTTTCTTTGAAAGATTTTCCATTTCAGTAAGTGGGACTGACACCCACAGGCAGGGAAGGTAGAGTAAGTATTGTGAGATGTTGTTATAGATTGTTGCATCGCACACTTAAATAGAAACGCTAAAACTTGTGAAAAGCCTGTCGTAGATGCTGACGCCAACAGTCTGTTTTGCAGATTTCATGTTCCTGTTTCTCTCGCTGTATATCTCTGTCTTTCCATCTTCCCCTGCGTCGTGCTTTACTCTCAGTTCCTTTCTGTTCCTCGCCTTTTGCATCTCAGTCGATTTTGATAAGGAGGGATTTTCAGTTTCTCACTCTATCTCTTTCTGCTTTCTGCATCTCAATCACTGCTCACCTCTTCAGCCTGTGTGTGTGTGTGTGTGTGTGTGTGTGTGTGTGTGTGTGTGTGTGTGGTGTGTGTGTGTGTGTGTGTGTGTGTGTGTGTTGTGTGTGTGTGTGTGTGTGTGTGTGTGTGTGTGTGTGTGTGTGTGTGTGTGTGTGTGTGTGTGTGTGTGTGTGTGTGTGTGTGTGTGTCTGACTCATTCTAAATCTGGATGTGTGACCCAGAAAAGGATTCATAAAACATATTTCATCTCATGGACTCATGCCTATATGAATTTATGAATTTAGTTTTATTCGCACATCTGTCACTCTTGCTTCCTGCAGGGGAGGTAAACAAAACTACATTTACACAATTTTCATATATTCTATTTTTTTTAGTATATCCAAAATATGTAATCCAAATATAACTTGTTGTGTTTCTGGTCTTTTATAGAGCACTTTTTAATGTTTTCTAAACTCTTATTATCAAAATGCCTCTCTGCCTCAGGCCTCTTTTATACTGTAGCTTACACATGCTGCTGTCTTGTGTTTAAAGAAATAGTTTTACATTTCTGTAAACAATTATTGTCTTATACACTTTCTTTCCACGAGTTTCGTGAAAAGATTGTTACAATTTTCGTGTCTTTATGCCTGCCGGCAGTTAGCTTAACTGGAAACTGGAAACAGCTAGCTAGCTAGCATAGCTCTGTTCAAAGGAAGGTACTTTAGTACAAAACTGAACAAAAACTCTAGGCGATATTGTGTGCCTGAGTATCTCAAGGCGCTGAGAAATTGCCTTGTAATTAATTCAAGGAAGTTACTGTTCCCAGCCAAGGAATGGTCCATTCCAAAATTATCCAGGAAAACAGCTAATTGCCATTTGTACCTAGAGGATTTGTTAGGATCAGTTACTACGTGGGGTTTCCGTTGTTTGCCTTGCAGTTTTCCAAAAAACCCAAACATATAACATGTTACTGAGGGAGCTTTGTTGTGGGCTAGCTGTTCTCTTGGAGGCTAGCTGTTACTCCAGTCTTTGTGTTGAACTAATCAGCAGCTAGCTGTAGCTTCATTTTCACTGTACAAACAAGAGTGAAATTGATTGTTGTCTGAAATATTCTATAATCCCAATACGATTAACTTTTGTAGCAGCATTTGATTGTTTTGTCTAGCCCCTGTATTACACATTAATCATATTCTCATCAAATGATTAGGTTTTATTTTGCTAAGAGAGTTTTAGAAGAGTATTACATTTCAAATATTTGGAGACGAGCCACAGAGCCAAATCTAGTTTTTCTTCACCAGCTGACATCATGAATAATAAGCAATGTGTGAAAGTTTGCACATCAGCCCTCCCTCATTGTGTCTTCTTCTTACATGCAAATTCATTCATTCAGCCCTCAAATTCATCACTTGTCTCTACTGGCATGCCATCTGCTTGTACGGCACATAGACAACTTCAAATCATGATGTTTCACACACTATAGCGGCAAGATCTTGAACTGTGAAATTCAATTGTACCTCCTCACACCTCAGCTGCATATTTTACACCACTTACACAACCTGTTTATTTGTTCAAGAGATGCTTCTGTGCTGCCTGTCTGGTAAACATGTTCTTTGGGACCATATTTAATGTTCTTTTTACCATATATTTTTAATTACAGTTGATATTTGCAGAATTGTATCGCCCTGTGAAAGATGACTGAATCATCCAAAAGCCCAGTGGCATCGAGGGACTGTACATTAGCTCTGCTCACCTGGACCGTTTTTGACAGGGCTGAAGAAATACACTGAAATAAATCAGATGTTTAGTCGGCATGCACGGCAGCCTTCTGCAGCTCCAAAGGGCAGCCATCCATGATTCATAATCTATATTTCATAAAAGACATTCGATCCTGGTTGGCTCCGGGAGAAAACATTTTTCATCTCAATACCTCCCTCAGGAACAAATTGGAACGTCCAACTCAAAACAAAATGAACACAAGCACACACAGAGCTAAACAGTGGTACTAGGATTTACTGCACTAATAAAAGCAGGTTTAGAAGAAAACAACTGAACAAACATTAAGCAAGTGCACAAATGTAATGTCTGTTTATTATAATAACAGAAAAGACTGGAGCTTTTCTCATTACACGATAAGACGGGTGCTTTTCTGGTTAAAACACGTGGATTATGTGCACAACAGCCAAATGAAGCTCAGCGCAAGTTCAACCAGGAAGACCGTCTTTACTCATTCACGTATTTCTATTCCCATGTTACTACTCTCTCTCCTCTCAATAAGTGACCGGGGGCGTCACTCTTCAGCTTAACCAATCACTTCGCTCTATTCCCAAGAGCCTATCATAGCGCTCTGTCAAACCTTTTAAGTCTGCTTTCCCCCATCTGACAGCTGTCATTTCAGGTGACTCTACGCAACCCTCCTCCACCCCTTTTCACCTCCCGTCCTTCTGAATCCAGGGTCAAGCTAAGCCCCTCCTCTTTAGACCGACCCAACTATCCATTCACCACCACCAGTATCTAGACCCCAGGGGGGTTTCATCGGATCGGTTCTACCTTCCCGAATGATACTTCCTGCACAACGGGGCCTAATCGCCAAAACTACCATTGCATTCATTTGTGCATCTGCGCAATAAATATGTATTATTACATCAAAACCGTCTCTCCTGATTGAATTTATTGATGTCATCTAGGAATGTATTTGTCATGCAAAAAGCGCCACTGCACATTCCTTCCAACAAAGGACCATCCTTCAAAAAAGGGCACCAATTTGTAGACCTTTGTAAAAACTAGCAAGAGATCTGTATGTGTTTTCAGAGTAAAGAGTCTCTTATGTTCTGCCTGAGCACAGTGACTTTGTCTTCCAGAGAAAAGCATTTTGAATATAAATTGGATGTGGTGCAAACAACAAATAAATCATTTAATGTTTTGATATTTTTAGCGTATCGCACACAATGGAAGAATACAAAATAAAGGTCTAACACATTTGCATCAACAGTTTTTTTAATTCAAGTTTGTACCACAAACACTTGAATGAACAGAAGAAGAAACACTCAGCTAGTACTTTAATAATACAAATGTGGGAAAAATGTTCCCACTCACTCATATACACATAGTATAAACAGCTACTGTCATGAGGTTAGCCATTTCAATGATTTGTCTGCCACCACAGTGGAAAGTAATTGTAGCGAATAGTCAATTGTAAATGAATAGTACAAAACAGTTTTTAGTTAGAATTTACTAAAAAAAGTAAATGTCTGTGTAACATTCAATACCATTACATGGTAATATTTGATTTTCATTAAACATGTCATAGTACCTATTTCAATACTGAGCATTGCGTTACTTATAATGTATATTGGAAGCACACATTCACATACTACACTGCTGTAAGGAAAGAAATCCACCACATTTGAAAGTTTTCTGAATTAAATAACAAAGCAAAAGAGAAAAAAAAAGATAAGAGGGTATATTTATATTTAGCTGAAAAAGTAATTTTTTGCTCGATCCACAGTTTATGTAAAGTTAATGGAGTAACATCAGCAGTGCTATGTTGAGTGAAATACCTACAACTTCTGGGTTCATTTATTCTTTACATATATCCATTTTGATGGTCATACAAACAATTTAAGCATTTTAGTATCCACATTTTCACATACAAATGTTTACAATCAACTCCATTGTTGTTCAATATCTAGGGCCCCGTGGGTGAAAAAGTACATTTCAAGTTTAAGATTCAGAAAAGTATAATAAAATAAGAATTGAAAGGAAAACTACCTATCCAATCACACTTTGTTTGGACTTACAATGAGCAACGTTATGCATAGCAGTGGTTTCATACTAAAGTGCATCCTCCATATGACGAGACAGGAGCAGGTCAATACCACGAGTCATGGGTCAAAGTTCAAAGTTCAGTTCAACGTGTAAGGTAAAAGTCTTAGCTTGCTCTGTTAGATCTCTTTTGCTTTCACAGTACACATACCGTGTCAATGCAAGCTTTTTCTCGGAGGTGTATCTTAATTTGTGTTTAACTTGCCTTTCTTTGGCTTGATGTGCTACAGTAAGATTATAGAAAATGAATGACTGACAGTAGCAGACTAGCTCATGCTGCTGTGTCTCTGTCCATGCGAGCTGCCGCTGCCTCTCTTGCTCTGCGCTGGCAGCCTGCTCATCTTCTCCTTCAGGCCCTTCAGGCTGTACAACCTGCTAATAGTGACGCTAAATGGATTCTTTCCTTCCTCCTGCGGTGATCCAGCCTGGTTCTGGGTCTGAGAATGAAGCGGCGCCTCTCTGTTAGACTGCTGTGGGAGGAGAAAAGAGCCCTGGGGTTTTGGGTAAGGGGATGGATTCTGCGTCTGTCCAGCTCTCGTTCTGTCCTGCACTGCTGGAGGCTGTCGAGAGAAGAACCTCTGCTGGCTTTGGGAGACTTCGGCCTGCCTAGTTGCTGGCCCGACAGCACCACCTTTCAGAGGAGGAGGCAGTCTGGATGGCGGACTACGAGGAAAGAAGGCGTAATCAGGGAGCACGTTGCTTTCTGCCTGGTTCTGCTGGCGGCTGGGATGAGGCCCCATAGCCCAGTTGGGCGAGAGGACTCGAGAGGGTCTCGATGGTCGGTAGGAGGAGAACGCCTCGCTGGCCTGCTGCCGTCCTCGTGGAGATTTGTGAGAAGTATGCGAAAGCTAGGAAAGACAAGGAAAATGGAGATGAGAATACCTTTATGTATAATGGAGGTATCAAAACATTGAACTACGTTTTTTTGCAGGAGCAGAGCAACATCTCAACCACACCTCTAATCACCTGCTAAGCTACTTATATCTGGCCAACACATAAAGCCTTGTTGGCCTCCAAATTCAACACCGGAACTCATTGTCCCTTCCTATCTCATCTAAACACAAATCCTTGTATAACTCTCTTCCTTCATCCCTCCCTCTCCTCATCCCTTCCACCCTTTATCCTTCCCTCTCTACATCCCTTCACCATCCCTCTCTACATCCCTTCTGACATCCCTTTATCTCTCCCAACATCCCTTCACCATCCCTCTCTACATCCCTTCATCTCTCCCTCCCTACATCCCTTCAAGCCTTCAACACTCCCTTCCTAAATCCCTTTATCCAATATTCCCTACATCCCTTCCTCCCTCCCTCCACCATCCCTTCCTTCCTACATCCCTTATCTCTTCAGGGTTTCCCACACAAATACTTTACTTTGGCGGGACGCCCAGGTATATTAACATCCGCCAAAGTATATTTCGCGAGTCCGTGAGCACGACGCTATCTGCGATCGATTACCTAGGCCTACCCCTCCTGTACCTGTTCGCACTGCTATCGCGTGAAGGATCTTCTTCATGCGCTCCACAGTAACTCCGCTGCGAGGCTCCGGCGAACAGTTCATGAGCGTGCTCCACTAGCACCCCCACCCCCCCGTTGATGAGCGTTCTCCACTAGCATCCCCCCCCCCCCGTTCTCGGCTAACACCACAAGTAGATTTCAGATCTGTGGGAAACACTGCTCTTTCTATATGATATGGTGTATAGTTTTTGTCCCATTCTAGGTATTGTCGGGGGGCTCATATTCAGATCAGAAACACGTAAATGGAATTGTTGCAAATGGAATTGTTGCAAATGGAAAAGATAAGTACTTCGGTGCAAATGTAAGATATGTTTTAATGTCCCTCTTGTTCATATTACATGACAGTTCACAGTTAAAACATGCCAGCAACACCTCTCTGACTTGAAAGGACTATTGTTAGATGAAAAGCGTGGTCTCAGGTCAGTGGTGAGTGAATGTGAAACTATCAATTTTTTACTGATTCATCAATATTGCATCAGTGTGAGCGCGTGCTGCCCTTCATTAAAAGTATGTCACTTTAATTCACACACAGTCTCCTTGTTCAATAATGAACAAGTGTCGTGTGTTTGAAGTTAGTGGTGCATCACACACACACACACACACACACACACACACACACACACACACACACACACACACACACACACACACACACACACACACACACACACACACACACACACACACACACACACACACACACACACACACACACACACACACACACACACACACACACACACACACACACACACACACACACACACACACACACACACACACACACACACACACACACACACACACACACACACACACACACACACACACACACACACACACACACACACACACACACACACACACACACACACACACACACACACACACACACACACACACACACACACACACACACACACACACACACACACACACACACACACACACAGAGATAGTTAGAAAGATGGATTACATTTAATTTGTATAAACCAACAGCTGATTTAGTATTAGTCTGATTAGCATGTTAAATTAATTTGGGTTAAGGGAGTATAAGTAATTGATGATTTAATAATAGCAATACCATGTTAATGTTCAAGGTGATTTTATTAAGGGTTAGGGATAAGATCATTAGAAGAAAATGCTTTTGAAACAGGATTGATTAGTTTAAAAATTAGGATCTCAGATATTGTTTTAATGCAAGTCATCAACTGTGGAAGCTTCATTGTGTTAGTTAGTTACAATTTCTTACACAAATCATTTAATTATAGTCACATATCAGAGACTATTGTAATGCTCAATACACCAGAAAATACAGGCATACAAATATAGATAGGCTTAAGGGTAAATGGAAATTTGAATTATTAGTGCTACTGAAGAAGACATTTCCAAAGTGGATTTTGCAAGACACTACAGGAGAATAGGGTAAAATGATTCTAGTCTAAAACTACTTTCACTACCACCGGTTAGATGTGCGGCACGTCCCTCGAAAACTTGGTTTAGCTGTGCTTACCTTTTATGTGACTGGTGTTCGCTGAGTGGTTAAGAAAATTAAAAAGTACACATTATTTAGGTTAATAACCTTCACATTAGCTTTAAAATTATAATTTGTTGTGTGGTGAGGACATTTGTTGTGGAATTTAGAGAATAAATCACCCTTCGCCTTACTGTACGCCATACCTTTTGTCCGTCAGTCGCCCGAGGTCTGCCCATCCTCTCCACGCTGTCCCCGGCCTTCTCCGTGTCCGGTCTCTCTTTCGTGGGTTGAATGTCACCGGTGGATGATCGCTTTCGCTCTAAACTTTCTGTTTCAGTGCTAGAGGTATACCTGTCTATAGTGCCTAATATACCAGCAGGAGAGTTTGAATTGATGTATACAGGACTGGTAGCATTAGCGTTATTTGTGTGTGCTAAGCTAATATGCTCCTCTGTCATTGTGTGGTTCAGGGAAGCTAATCGCTCCAAACCAGGCTCTTGGAAAGGGGAGTCGCAACATTCGTAAAACTCCTCTGAAGTGGTGGAGAGAGCGGAGTCTGTTCTTGGTGATAAATACCCGTCAGGTGTTGGCGTTCGAAAGTCTGGAGTGTATGCGCGAGAATCGGAGGTAGGCGTGCAAAAGTCTGGGGTGGGCGTACGTGGGAGAAATCCATCCGGGGTGGAACTGCGGGTCAGAGCCATGAGTGACTGCAATCCTCTCTCTGATGTCGGTGAAAGCAAGTCTGGCGAGTGTATTTCAGAGAGAAGTAATCGCAGGGGTTTCTCAGGTGTGTGTGTGCCTCCTGGTGCTTTAGAAGGGTTTTCTTGAATGTTGTTGTGAGTGTTATGTTTGGCCGTATCTGGCATACTGTCTGTGGGGCGTTCGGGTGTTACACTTGGATTACCTTGCTGATTGTGTGTGACTGTGTGTGTGCTATCACCAGCACTGTCTTTAAATATGTGTGTGGCAGAAATAGGAGTGTGTGTTGGTGCTTTTAAAGAGTCCACAGTATCTGATACATCGTTAACTTGTGCAGGTAACTCACTATACGATATTCTCCGTGGTACGTGTACTTTTGCAAGGTATGTTTTGCATTCTGTCACATTCTCAGTTTTTTCGTTTGTCACTCCAGAAACATCCATTGAAACTTGTTCTGGGGCCTTAATCTCCTTCTTTACTGTTGCAACACTATCTTTCTGTGGGGTTAGTTTGACATCCATTGACACCAAAGTCTTGGGCTTGACACTTTTTGGAATGACTTCTTGAGTAATCACATTCTCTACTTTTGTTATCAAAACATCTGACTTGGTTTTGTTTCCGGCTATCAATTGCATTCCTGCTCTGTCATCGCCTCCAACTGCTTTCTCATTGTTTGTATTTTGGGAAGTACCACTCTGCTTTTGTTGTGGTGCTTCTACCATATTTAAAATGTCCTTTGCCATTTTCTGCGCCCCTACCTCGCCTTCGCTGTTGTTCTGCAGTTCTGGGACTGTCTCAGCAACTTTTTGAGGCAATGTTGTCACCGTAGTTGCTACAGCAGGCACATTTATGACCTTTTCTGGCGCTGTGCTGGTCCCAGCCATTTGGACAACACTGACCTCCAGGATTTTCTGGCCTTTGTCGGTGACGTCGCCCTTGATAACCAGATGGACAGTACGAGGTTTAGGAATGGGTGGTGTTGAAGTCTCAGATGGGGATATTGGGGACAAAGGGAGGGCAGGAGGGGGAATGGAAGAAGAGCTAATGGAAGACTTGGGACTCTTGCTTGTAGTGATGGAGACGTGACTGTTTTCAGAGAGGGGGGTGGAGCTGACAGACTGTGGGGAAGACTTGTGGCTGTTGATGGTGGGAGTCTGGATGATAGGGGTCATTTCAGAGGAGTTTTGTGACTGCGTGTGATCAGCCTGCCATTGTGAGTCCATATGTGGCAGCACTGTCTTTGTTTGTGGGTGCGGCTCTGTGTTCCCTTCAGTGGGACTATGCAGGTGTGAGTCTTGTGTACAGCTCGCCTTCAGGGCTTGTTTCCTGCTCACAACCTCCTGTTGTGTGTTTAAAATACTGTCAACTTCTGGTTTAGTGTTTGATTCAGAAAGGGTGGTGACAGTTTGTGTGGTTTGTGAAGACCCCTTAGAGTTATGAGTGGATGCTTTGCTTCTGGATTGGGGAGGAGTGTGTGCATTGAGGTGAGGTGTGTTGTTGTGGCCTGCATCTTGTTTGGGGAAGGTATTAGAATGCTGTTTATTCTCAGTGTTGGGAGTGGTCGTAGTGTCTTTGTTGGACTCACACTGTGGTCCGGATGCAGGTAATTTCTTGACAGGTTCCTCTGTTTTGCTTTTGATCTCATTAGGACCTTTGTTAGTTTTAGTTTGCTGGGCTACACCTACCACCACCTCTTTAGTCTTGGTTTTATCTTGTGCTGGTTGGAGTTCATTCACCTCCTTCCGTTTAGTCGTAAAGTCTCTTGGCTTAGCGACGTCGGGCAGAGTTTCTTTTGGCCTACTGAAGGGACTGCTGAACCTGACTGCTTGGCTGGTTTCATACATCTCCGACCTCTGTAGATGGACCTGGTTTTGTTTTTTGTTATCACGAATGTTAATGAACCCGATTACATCACTGGCCGGGTCGGGCTCTGGCCAGGTGGGCAGGTATGACATCATGCACACTTTCTCTAGATCTATGAGTCCAGGGTGGATGGGCGGACCCTCCTGTGTAGATTCTTTATTAGCCCCTTTCCCCCCATGCTTCTTGGTTCCCTGGTTCTTGGAGTCCTCTGGATTGTTGGTCTTTGGAGGAGGAGTGGAGTGTGGGTTGCCCAAAGCAACATATTTGGCACTGTACAGTTTCCTAACCATTTCAGCAGAAGGAGGGACGACTGCGGCCGGCGCTGGGATGGGCTCCGCTTCAGGTTCAGGCTCGATGGCGTCCTTACGGAGGTCTACTGAGTTGGAGGTTGCGTAGAGGACTCGAAACAGCTTGTCAAAGGACTCCACTGCCTGGCCTGTAACTACGGTGATGAGATTTCTGTCCAGCCTCGATGCAGACCAAGTGAAACTACAGAACATACAACAGATACAAAGTTAGTCTACCTCTAAGCACAACAAGATATTAAATGTTGGCAAAATACCAATGACTGAACTATCCATTCATTTAGAGACTGCACTGTGCATGCATTTATGTCTCTTGTGCATTGGATACATTTAAAACCTGTTGATCTTGCTTGTAGAGATAATGCTACCAAACACTAACAGTACATTCTTTATTCACATTTCACGCTAGGCTCAAAGACACAAAGAGAGGTGGAGCGCACATAGATAATCTGTTTCTTTCTTTGTCTATATTTATCTCTTTGAAAAATGCTCACACACACACATTCACACATACACACACTCTAAGTGCACTGACCTGTAAGACCCAGACACAGCTTTGTCTCCATCGATGAACATGAATCTGTGTCCCATTCGCCCTCTGATCTTAGTGCAGGACCGGGTGTAGAACTCTGCTCCATCTGTGCAGCGTACCCTGAGGTTCTGTAACACGCACATACATGCAAAGAAGATGAATATAATCTTCTCCAAATTCAGAGCTATTTTGTGACCTGTGACCTGCATGATGTAATGGTTACACAACAATGACAGGGACCAATTCATCTTCCATTAATGGGTCAGATTATGCAAATGTGTAAGGTTCATACATGTATTTTGGTGTTAATGGAACATGTTTACATGCTTTACGTTAAAAAAACACAACATATTTCTCATATTGTCTGTATGAATAAACATGCATTTGCTCTCTATCTGATTTGTTTTGTTTAAGCCCAGCTGCAGGAAAAAAAGCCTAATCTGCTCGGATTGGCGTGCGGGAAAAGTATGGCACACCTTTGCCAAGGTAGTTCTCAACACGTTTAGATACACAAATGGGGAGAGTGTATTTGAATGAGCCTGAATGGGACATAGGAAGTAAGAAAGCTGACTGGGTTGTCCTTGTTATCAAATTGACGGTTGGTAGGCAATCTAGATAGCAAAATGTATGTGCACAAGCATTGAAAAAGCGTTTATTTGAATGATATTTCCCGATTAAGTTAAGGAAGTAGACTACAGATGGGATCACGCCAGCCACAACACCAAACCGGACAGACCTTGGTACAGAGGCCTTCTTCAGATGTTAACATTAACTAGAGTGCGTGATGTCACAGCTAGAGTGTAGGAAATCTTGAAATTTGCCTTCATATTTATTTTTTAAACTGCCATAATTCCCAAACCCTACATTCCTGAGACATAATTTTTCATGACAAACGTAGGAAAACATCTCGTAGCTTGAAAAATGACAAATAATTAAGCAAAAATAATTAAACAAAATGCCTCTTGAGTAGGGATGGGTATCGTTAAGGTTTTAACGGTACTACTACTTTTATCGATACCGCTTATCGGTCCGGTCTTTTAACAGTACTCTTATCGGTTCTTTTGGAGAGAAAAATGAGGTAAACTAACTATATGTTGTATGTCAGGGACTACGGATGGAAATTAGCTCAAAGCTAAAATCCGGCATATTTACACTTGAAGCATTATTTGTCTAAAGTGTTCATTAATGTGCATTGTCCCTATTCAAATAAACAATTAAATGAAAATGAACAAATTGTGAACAAAACTAACATTGCTTTTTATTTAAATGAAATACATAATATTTCACATCAACAGAAACAACAACGTTTTAACAAATCATATTAAATAATCTGATGACAGAACTGTGAACAGAATGGCTGAAACTTTAACAAACTAAATAACTCAGTTCCCTCTAATCATTAACCCATGTTTGAATCATTGAGTTAGCTCCGTGTGTTGCTGCTAGCATACATAATATACCTGACGTGGAAACGTTACTCGTGGATGGGGCTACAGAGCTACTAGAGAGACAGTCGAACCCGGTGCATTTCTCCGTCTGAACGTGGTGCACTTTTGCAAGATGTTTAGACAAATTGCTCGTGTTACCGCCCTGACATGCTAAATTCTTATTGCACTTTAGGCAACGAGCGAGACGGGTAACGTTTAACCACACCTCGGAGCGCGTTCTCTCCGCCATCTCCTCCGTGTGTGTGTGTTGCTGCATGTAGCAGCTGCGTGTGTGTAAACTGCCCCGCCCCCTCGCACACAGACGGGGGAGAGAGATCTCTCGTCTGGATTGGAGAGATCGAAAATACAAAAAATTACGCATTTTGCAGTCTTTTTGCGTATTAGAAACGGAGTTGGCGACACTAAAACTGCAATATAATGTTTGTGTAGCAATAATACACATGACATATTTTTTAGATGTCTCCAGTACCGATAAAAAGACCGATAACGTCGGAGCTTAACGGTACCACGGTCTTTAATAATTCAGCCCCGGGGCCCGTTTAATACCGGGGCTCGGTACCCATCCCTACTCTTGAGGGCATGAAGTGACAAAAACTTTCAACATGTCTCCATTAAAACCCATTGTAATTTCAGGCTGATATTTCCTCACAGCAGCAGCCGCACACCTTTAGTTAATCTGCCAAAAAGGCCACATTATTGACCCGAAAGTACACAAAAAGCACACTTCAGATAGTGAAGGTCCTTGAGATGCTTCACGCTTTGAAATTTCACCGATATCTGTTACGGTTCTTCAACAAAACGTTCACATGTAAGAGGTTTATCTCTCATTCAGAACAATGGAAACCTTTGATCTCTGGACACCTCGTTAGCTCAAATATAAACACCTGTGTCATGGAACACGAAGATGTCATAACTCCAACTGACATGCTCAGAGCAGCAGACTTCAGATAATGGTTAATGGTCCTGCCCTCAACAGCTCTACGTCAATTATGGGGTGTCATCATATGCCGTTTCCATGGAAACGAATCCCTCGCCATAAAAGATGATGTCGCTATACATTAACTCCTATGAAAATGTTCAAAAAGTGCTCAAACTTTACGTGTGCTAACAGTCCAGCCGTGAAGACATCTACGGGACAGTTTTGAGATTTCTTCAAATGCCGTTGCCATGGCAACACAATGCTCGCCATGAAACACGGTTTTCTCATAACTTCAGTGAAAATGCTCCAAACGGCCCAAAACTTCACAGGTTTGGTAATGATGCAGCCATCAACGCATCTAAGCGTATTATGGGGTGTCATCAAATGCCGTTGCCATGGCGACAGATCATTCACCATCAAGTTAGTTCAACATTTTGCAGTTCAAATATTCTGCTGCTTTTCCAAGCCTTTTTACTTTATTTTCTTCTCTCATCACACATTCAAGCCCCCAGTGTTCATGTATCATTTCAATCTAAATTCTTCACTTTCTTCTTACACATTACATTTCAGCATAGCAATTCAGCGTCAGCTTTTCAGCATAAAGCATTCCCACTAGCAATTTCTTCAGGAATTGCATTCTCTAGTTCAAACTGCAATTAGCACATTCAAAGTAAGTACTGTGATTAAATATTACACAACCAACAATAATATAATTTCAATTGATCCTAATGTAATCTATGTCTTGTCTTTACTTGACTTTAGTGATATTATCTCGGTCGTTGTTGGAACTTGTGTTTTGCTCATCTCCGTCTGAAAAACACACCATGTTTACTGTAAGCAATTCTTCTGTATCGGGATTCCCTCAGATTCAAAGCTGGTGTCCCTCAGGGCTCAGTTCTCTGTCCACTTTTGTTTCACACGCGTGACTGTGTAGCTGTAAAAAGCAATATATTAAATGAGGGCTAACACTTAACCAATCGTTATGATAATAAATGGGTGGTACAGTTTATGTACCTGCAATCATAAAAGACTGTAATAATGTTTCAGATAAGAGATTACACATGAAAGGAACCTCGAACACTTTCTCGGTTCAATCGCTCTGACTCACTTTGTTTCTTCTTTCCTATCTTCTTTTATTTCTTAAGAACAGATGTGTTTACCAACATCTGTCCGACATTAAATATGAAAACTGCATCCTAATTCTGTGAGAGATATGCAGACCTTTGTTTCCCATAATCCATTGTTGAACAGGTGTTTAGATTATGTTAGTGATCAGTAAATGGTCCATATAGCAGTACTGAATGGTGTAAATAATATATTTTAAATATGGGGTCAAATAAAAATGATTGCATCATAGCTTCAGCTTTTGCTTTCTGTCTGACTTTTCCCTGTGTTTTTTTTTAAATATCTGTTGTAATTTATTGTCTTTTATTGTGATTGTAGAAATGTGTTTTTATGTGACTGTAGTTATTACATGTACAGCACTTTGGCCCGACCAAAAATCGCTTTTAAATGTGCTTTATAAATAAACTTTGATTTGATTTGATTTGATTTGACATGGTTTGGTAGTACATGTTCAGCTCTTTGTACGCTGATTGAGCTCTCTTTCCTGGTGATAGATTGAAACATTTTGACTTACCATACCACTTTGGGTAGTTTAGATTTAACTATCTTGTTTTCGGGAAAGCCATAAGTTCCTTTGAAAAGACACAGCTTAATGAGTCACGTCGGTGTCTAGGGCCAGGTCCTGAACTGAAAAGCAGCCAAATAATTGTACAGTTATCCTGATGCAGCAGATTATTCCTGGTATGGCATTGCTCACAGTAAAAACACTCCACCCTACTTTGGTCCCACCCTTGACTCTCTCTTCCCCGCAGTACATTCCTTTTACCAACTGATTAGATCAAATCAGCAACTCGTCGTTGTTGGAACATGTGTTTCGCTCATCTCCGTCTGAAAAACACACCATGTTTACTGTAAGCAATTCTTCTGTATCGGGATTCCCTCAGATTCAAAGCTGGTGTCCCTCAGGGCTCAGTTCTCTGTCCACTTTTGTTTTTTTACTCTGAAAGGCCTACACACGTGACTGTGTAGCTGTAAAGAAATATATTAAATGAGGGCTAACACTTAACCAATCGTTATGATAATAAATGGGTGGTACAGTTTATATACCTGCAATCATAAAAGACTGTAATAATGTTTCAGATAAGAGATTACACATGAAAGGAACCTCGAACACTTTCTCGGTTCAATCGCTCTGACTCACTTTGTGTTTCTTTGTTTCACTCCACCCTACTTTGGTCCAACCCTTGACTCTCTCTTCCCCGCAGTACATTCCTTTTACCAACTGATAGATAAAATCAGCAACTTGCATTTCTTTGTGTATTTAACTCTCTAAACTCTAGATTATGAGTGCTTAAGATGTCCTATAAAGAATGTTGTGTAAAAGCACAACCAACGTATTAAATTGCAAAGCAAACATAGCTCTGCATAACACCAGAACCAACTGAAAAACAGTGGCAAGGAGGCGTGGCTTAATGAAAATGCAAGTGGGCATGCTTTCTCGTCCCAATGATGTTGCCGGGAGATCCAGAGAAGATGTAGGGAGTTTTATATTCAAACGTTAGGCCAATTTGGCTTCATGCACCACTGAGCAACTTTCATGGGAATGAATGGGGCCCTGCTTTCAATGCTGTATCCAGTTCTCTTTGTACATCCATGCCAGAGGGCGTGGGAGAGAATAATCTGGCACCTTTTTACCTATACACATATATATCTTGCCACATATCGGCACTTCCTACTATCCTCTCTATTCTATCCTCCACCTACTCCCTCTTGTCACTTATAGTAACAGTAAAACACCTGTCTTCTACTCTTTCTGTCAACCCTCATCTTAATAAGGCAGAGCAGACCGAAGACCTGCGACAGTGGTTTCTGTCAGAAAGGTACAGGATCATTTAAATGACAGATACCGCCACAGACACAGAATATGACCAGGATATATGAACACATAACATCGCTGTGGTTTTGAAGTATGCAGCTGTCAAACACACCTCACTGTGCTCAATCTAAACACATGATTTATTTGTTCAAACACAAAGCATTGTGAACAAGTGAATGATACTGTGTCTTAAATAAGTAATAAATCTGTCTTATTTAATGATATTCGCTTTGACAACTAGACTGTATTTCTGCAACTACCATGCCTTAGCGGTAAAGCTGTGTTACACTATAACAGTATATTGTACAAAATATGAAACCATGCATGAAACGAGTAGTTGTATGTGCTGAATTTGAGCCAATGGTTTATTTCAGGGATCAAACATCAGACTTAATTAAATCTAGGTTTTTAGGCTGAGTGCACTGTGGGCATTTCAGAAAGCAAGCAGTTGCAATGAGAATAAAACAGGGAGAGAACAGCCATCCAGTTAAGCTAAAATAAGACATTAATTTGCCATGTGTAATTGTCATATGTTTATGTTTAGAAATCACAAACTGCCACATGAGACTGTGAAAATGTCTGCTGTTTTGCTTATAATCCAGATACAGATGGTACTTTAAGGCAGTCAAGCTGTTACTGCATTTGCGATTCACTTAAATTCCTCCAAGGCATACACTGGCAGTGAAGAGACAGAGAGTGAGTGTCTGTGTGTGTGTGTGTGTGTGTGTGTGTGTGTGTGTGTGTGTGTGTGTGTGTGTGTGTGTGTGTGTGTGTGTTTGTTCTTCATTGTTTGACTTCTTCCTGCCAAATTATGATCTAAACCAGTGTATACCTTAACAGTAAATACCACTAGGAACATAATTAGTTAAACACATTGTAAGCCTTTGTGGAAAATGCCCAACCTTGCTTATACTGTACAGGGTTCATACACTTTTTCACCAATGATTTTCAATGACTCTTCCATGACTTCTCCATGACCTTTACCTAAGTTTCCATGACCAAAATAATTACTCTTTCTCAGCGGTACCACTGAAAATGGTTTATTTTAACATGGAACAGGAAAATAAGGTCTGCATATGAAACATGTTGTGCCTATCTAAAGCAAATCAAATAGTAGGCTTACTAGCTTCTACACGCTAAAGCAACTCAAATCTCTCACCAGCAAAATACCTCGACAGTTAAATGCCATTTTACATTTCATTACTATACGATACAGTATTTATTATCACTATAGTATTACTATTTCGGCGATTAGATAAAATATAAATTATATTTGATGCAACTTTAGTTACATTTCCATGACTTTTCCAAAACTTTGGGAAAAATATTGTTTTCCATAACTTTTCCAGGGCCTGGAATTTGCATTTTGAATTTCCATGACTTTTCCAGGTTTTTAATGACCGTAAGAACCCTGACTGTAAGTTAGATAATTGAAATGATCGCCCCATGGAAAGGAGGACAAACGCACCCGCTAGTAAATACACAAATTGCAACGTTAGATGCTAAAAGGCTTATCATGTACAGAGCAGCAATTACGTGTACAAATAAAACAATTGTGCTAGTCACGTGTCTGGGAAGATTTCAATGTTCCTAACAAGCTGACTCAAATAATATACTTTATAATAAGCTTTAAAACAGTTGATAGGAGGGCTATAGGAAGAATGACATCAGCATTAAATAAAAACCAAACAAGGAACTCTTTGTAAACATACCAATATACATAGAGACTTTACTCCTGTTCTTAAAAGAGTCTAGTAAATACCGGCTGGAGGAAACACTACAGAGATATTCTTACAGGCTTACTGGCAGCTACATTAAAAGATTCCATTCTCAGGAGAACAATTCACTGGAGATGGACAGCTGTACTTTCCCTTTAACTTAAGTCTACGTGTCTGTACATGACCAAATGTGTGTTCTAACTTTTTTCATGGTAGCCGGCCAATTATGGAATGAAACAAACACCCAAGGTAGACACAAGGAGGTAAAAGATTCATATGATACAGTGCCAGCTGGTTGTTATTTGAGCCTTTGTGTGAGTGCGTGTGTGTGAGAAAATGATAGAGGGCATGTGCTTTCACTTATCCATGCATAACGAAAACCTCTTGACTTCAATTGCCTCTCTTTTCTTCATAATATCAATTTTACTTTTTGTGTTCAACAACAGTGCCTTACAGTCTCATAATGACTTGATCATTTTCTGCATTACTGAACATCTGGAAATTCCCCCCTGTGATCAAAGAGCAAAGATTACTTCCGCTTTAGTGACACATTTACACTGAATGAAACTATGAGATTTTATCCTAACAGAATAGATAATTGACTCAAATGTTCTGTTAGCCTTTTATTCTGGTCATCATATTGGTTAGTCAGTTGACGAGGTGGTCTAGAGCAATATGTGTCAAGATTGTCATACCATTTGTCAAAAACACAAATGAATTTTACGTAGCACACATTGGCTCCCAATAATAATAATGGGGGATTTGTTTTAAAGAGGCCCTATTATGCTTTATTGGGTTTTCCCCTTCCTGTAGTGTGTTATTGTTTTTTGTGCATGTAAATGGTCTGCAAAGGCTAACATCCCTCACAACCCCGCCCCACCCCTGCCTGAAAGGCCTCGATTGGACTCGATTGCTTACTTCCGTATCTTAATGACATCACTATAACACTCACATTCCTATTGGCTAGCGCTCCAACTGTTGGCTAAGGGGTGGGACATCTGTAAGCGGTTGACCAATCACAACAGAGCCGACCAGCAAACCAATCAGAGCAGACTGGGCTCTGGTTTCAGACAGAGGGTGAAAAGAGGTGCTGCAGCACAGGCAGTCTGAGAAAAATAAAGAGCTTTTTGAACATTAAAGCATGTAAACATGTCAGAGTAGAGGCACGAAATACAAATATAAACCTGAAAATGAGCATAATATGTCCTCTTTAAATTCTAGCTACAACTAATCCTTACTCTTTGATGCTTAACATCAGACTGGTGCTGACTCACCTTGAGGTGTCCGGCATGCATTTGTGCCCTCTGACACATGGACCGGAAATGAGGTAGTGTTGAGCTTTCCAAAAGGATGTAGACAGAAACCTTCCTCTTGAAACCAGCATCAAGCAAATCCCTGAAGATGTCAACATCAGTAAACACATCCATCACTACTGCTATAACCTGGAGGCAAAAACACACAACACCTGCATCACACACACTGGAAAATACTCAAAAATACATTGTTTATGCATGAAAGTAAAGAAATACATGCACATACTTATAACTACGCAGCAAGATCAAGCCTCAGGCATAACTGTGAGGTTACTGAAAACATGACACATTGACTCTTTTGTGCCAAGACAAATAAGATTCAAGTTGTTTCACAGGTTTGACTAATTTATGATCACACAAATTATTAAAGGTCCCATGTCATGCTTTTCCGGTTATTACCCGTCCCCTTGTGTGTTATGTAGCTTTTTATGCATGTAAACCGTCTGCAAAATCACAGCTAGTGGAGCCTCGCAGATGGGGGTGCTGCAGCCCACTCAGCACCCCCCCCCCCTTCCCGCATCCATTCGCAATGTCTCGCTGTCTCACAGACCCCACGCAGCAACCAGGAAACGACACCAGTAACCCAGCTCAAACTGTCCGCTCCTCACAGCAGCGAGCCGCGCAACGTCCCGCAGACATCTGTCTGTCATTACTGGTGTCATTTTCTGGTTGCTAACGCCATTGTAACACATAATCACTGATGTTCCGCTGTAACGGTGGTGGACTCATCAGAACAGAGTGGGCGAGCTGACCAATCAGAGCACGCTGGGCTCATAGGGAGGGGGGGGCAGGAGCTCCAACAAGCCGTTTAGGACAGAGAGTGAATACACATACTATACAGAGATGCTGTATGAGAAACCAATGTGAGTTTGGAAAATTGCACAATGTAAATCTATTCTAGTATACCTCAACAATGGAATTATGATCAGTAGAAATGGCCATGACATGGGACCTTTAAGGTATAATTTAAGGGGAAGTTGTGCAGGTTCTCACAGCTCTCCGCTTATATGTTAATTTAGCCTGTCAGAAGCTTTTCAGTTCCCATAGGTTGGTGCATTCAAGGGACACATGTCTCTGAGAACAGCTGCCATGAAATAAAACATGTCACATTAAACTTGTGCCTTCAGATGAGTCAGCTGCTAGACAGACAGAAAAGCACACTCATATGCATCATCAACCTACGCAAAAAAAGCACATAATCATGCAAATATCCAACATAATCTTGCTCCCTTGTTACAGTGGCAGTACTTCTTTTAGTCCCTGATAAAGCAGCTTAATCAAGATGCACTTTACTCTTCACTGTCTCATGTTGTCTTCAGTCTGTACTCTGACCTCACACAGACTGATGTCATTGCTGCCCGTGTTAACACAATGTCAACGTTACAGTTTATCTTTTGAATGAGTACAGCAGGTCAGAGAAATAAGTGTAAAACAAAATCCCTTTTGACAACAATCTTTAATATGTAACATGTATGTGTTTCTACATATTTGCTCTGGTGTACCCTCTGAGTAGTACAGCTGAAATACACTGCAGAAAATACTACAAAATAGATAAACCATAAAGGAAATATGTGACACAGCGGTGTTTCTTATTGCACAGCCATTTACTATGTCAATGTTACAGTTATTTTTTAAAGGGTACAGCAAGTCAGAGTGTCAGCCAACATGCCAGACAGTCATGATGAGGCATAAGCAACAAAGAAGAGCACAAATAAACACATATAGAGAGGCACATATTGCCCAGCCTATATGTAAATACTAAAGATCTTAAACTAAACAGACAGTTTCATATTTTCCAATAACCCAAGGGAAGACAACCACAAATGAATATGCTTTAAATATTTGTATATAGCTTTGGAACTGTATGCGGAGAGTGTTAACTTTCAATTTGAGTAGTTTACTTTTATTTGAAAGTAAAAATTAAGGCATAAACAGACAGGACAATGCTTAAATACACCTATTCTGCCTTCCTTCCTTCCTTCTTTCTTTCTTTCTTTCTTTCTCCATAAAGCACTTTGGTCTGGACGTTTTAAAGTTCTTAACAAATAAAGCTGAATTGTATTAAATGGTATTCTTTTCTTTAATGTTTGTCTTCTTCTTTATAAGTGGCCCAACATACCTTTTGCGCCTGCGCAATCATTTTCCTGACGACCTCCTTGATGTGAGCCTGATCATCCAGGGGTGGCTGCGTGTACACGGCTGTGCGCGTGACCCCCCGGTAAGAAGCGCAGTCCGGCCAACCCAGGTCCATCTGCGGGATGGACCTATCCGACAACTCGGGCCAGTAGTGCAGAGACAGCGGGGACTGGTCGTCCTCGCCGTCCTCCGGGAAGATGTCCGTGCCCGGGTCATAGGGCTCCACCGTGTCCGCGAGAGAGTCCAACTCCAGGTCCGACAGGAAGCCGCGCAAGGTGCGAGCCTCCAGGTACTTAACAAACGCCTCGCGACCATCTCGAAGGAAAGCCTCGAGCGCGACCCGCTGGTCCTCGCTGTACAAAAACTCCGGTTTGGACTCGGTGGTCCGGAGGTTCACGTGGTTATCGTCCAGGCACTGTACCTGGGACAGAGCCATGTCTCAAAAACAAACACTACAAATCCAGTTTAGTTCCTCTTCCAAACTTCTCCAAACGTGTTGCATAAAAGTTCCCCTCTGTGGTCTAAACAGCTGAGTAGATAATCTCCAGACTTGTTGCACATAACTTCACGTAGTTCCCCCAGATTCCTTTGAGCGGCCATGGTGCGTTAACACTCGGCCATTGTCATCCCCACTTCCAAACGAAAGACTTGACGGGGCAGAGAGAGAGAGAGAGAGCGAGAGGCAGAGTGAGTGACACCCCGCTGAAGGCACCGCCCGACAGGTGTGACCCTGTCAGCAAAACACCCACACACAGAAGCATGCGCACCTTTGTCAGGTGACATGTACATATATCAAACATACCATCATCAGAGGTGAAAGTACTCAGATCTTGTACTTAAGTAAAAGTAGAAATACCAAAGTGTAGGAATACTCTGTTGGAAGTAAAAGTCCTGTATTCAAAATGTCACTCAAGTAAAAGTATAAAAGTATTGGCATCTAAATATATTTAAAGTATCAATAGTAAAAGTACTCATTAGATTGATACATTTCACAATCATATGTTTTGATTATAATGATTGATTTATTGATTTGTTTATCAAGCTGGTAAAGGAACACAATTTAATGACTTAATTTACTGCTTGGTAGCATGCACATTTAATCCAGATGTAATTTATTAGTAAGTAAGTCTTATTTAAGTGTTGATCATATTGTATGGTATAGATTATTGATAGATATCAATAGTCTATATCTGCAAAGCAACTAAAGATGTAATGTAGTGGAGTAAATGTACAATATTTGCCTCTGAATTGTAGTGGAGTAGAAATATAAATAAAAATGTTAATACTCAAGTCAAGTACAAATACCTCAAAATGGTACTTAAGTACAGTACTTGAGTAAATGTACTTAACACCACTGCATACCATGAAAGGAGAAAACGTTTTACATGTTTGAGTTTGACTGGATTATATAAAAATAAGTCATTATCAAAAGCAATCCCTCCCTTATTTAACAATTAAATCATTAGAGTGCCAGTCATCCAATGAGATGAGACATGTGAAAACCACAAGTAGATCATCCATGACTTTGCGGTTCTACCTGTTCTGTCATGTTTCTTAAAGCTCCTGCCAGCAAGACAGAGCCGCGAACCAAGATAAGAAGATAAGATGACATTAATGGAATCTAAAAACATTGCACGGAGAGAACAGACCATATTTCTTTCATTTTCTTAAAAATAACTTTGTGTTCACCCTCCAGTGGTGGAGAAAGCATTCAGATCATTTACTAATAACACACTGTAAAAATACTCTGGTACAAGTATAACTTTAAACTGCATTTAATGTGACTTAAGTAAATGTATGTACAAATAATCACGAAAAAGTACTTAAAGTAACTAAACATATATATTTATTTCTTATAAAAAAGGATTAAAACTATTTAAATAGATCTGTAAATAATTTCAGTGATTCATCACTCCAGCTGTTTTTTTAAATATTTTATTTTTTGTCTGCAAAAGTCCAGATTTTTAAAGTAACTCCTAACCAAATCTGTCAGATAAATGAAGTGGATTTAAGAGTATCAGTTCCCTGAGGTTTAGTCGGGCGGATGAATAAAGTACTATGAAAGTGATTGGCCTTTGAACTCTGTAGTATAAGTTTGTATTTAGTAGGAACTTAGGAACAGTGAGGAGCTTGAGCTTAATGCTTAATAATACTCAGTAAGTTAATTACAGTTAAATAGCTTCCCTTTGAATAGAAAGCGAAGAAAAAAGTCTCAAGAATCAAGCAGACATCGAACAAAACACGTAGTCTTCAGGTTACAACACACATTTTAATAACACTTTATTAACCCTAAACTGCTCCAAATGTACCTTGATTCTCAGTAAATTAAAGTCACATGCTGCAGCCTGCACTGGTCTCTATTGTGTGAGATGCAATTACATGTCATATTTTCTATTAAACAGTGGGAGGGAAAGAGATCACAGCAAAGGCTGAACAGTGACATGCCTATTACATTACAATAGTACAGTTTAATATTTGTATCACCTGCTGCTGTGTGACGTATTTATTGGTCATTAATATGAACATGTAATGTTTTACCCAGGTGACAGGCAACAGGAAAAACAATAGAAGAGTAGTCAGACCTTGTGGTAATTGTTTTTGCACTGACAAACAGAATAATGCCAACTCTCATATTTACAATGTTATTTCCAGCTCCAAAAGTGTTTTTCTATCATTTGGCTACTAGCTAACTTATCAATTAGTCTATCAACAGAAATATATTCACCAACTATCTTGATTTTAAGTAAGTTTTCATGCAAAAATGGCAGAAAATAGAAAATGTTTGCCTCTCAAATATGAAATGTCATAGATAAAGTTATATCATAGGAAAGAGGACAGATAACGCTCTTTTTCAGGTTCATATTTGTATTTTGTACCTCTACTGCGACATGTTTACATGCTTTAATGTTCAAAAAGGTCTTTATTTGCCTGTGCTGCAGCACCTCTTTCACCCTCTGTCTGAAACCAGAGCCCAGTCTGCTCTGATTGGTTAGCTGTTGTGATCAGTCAACCGCTTACAGATGACCTGCCTTTGCAGATAATTTACATGCACTAAAACCTAAAAAGCATGATAAGGCCGCTTTAGACTGAATATCTTTGGGTTTTTGACCTGTGACCTGTGACCCCAATTAAACGTCTCTATTTTTTAAATCATAATCCACATTTTAAAAGTAAGTATTTCATTTAGTTTTCTTCACATCAATGAATGAAATCCTTAGAAATAAACAAACAGTGTATTCAAAATAAAACAGTCCTCACAGCTTTGTGACCCTCAGGTGGGGCACCAGTGCATTTGAGGATAGAAGGAGCTGACAGAGCTTGGTCTTCCTGACATAACTTGAGGCACCCTTAAATATTTCAAGCTTCCTCTGTTCCTGTCTGTCTGGATGACGATGCTGATCGCTTGTTCAGGGAATCACTGGGTGACTCACCAGCTGTTCGACTGCCCATCTAATCTTTTGATTTACGGACTCGTTGATTGGCAGAGAAATGATTAATCGTCTCATAAAAATCTGCTTGTATCGTGAGTGTTGGGCTGGTTTTATGTATCTTTCCACTGTCAACAGCCGGGAGCAGTCAGTCAGTCAAACTGGTTTGGTTGTGTTTGCTTCTAACGCAATGAATGATGTATATCGTGGATGTCACACTTTACCTCTCCGCTCTTTAACTTTATATCGCTCATATAGTGACACCCTGCCCCTCCATCTTTCATTCGTATCATCTGCTTCTTCCTCCGTCTTATTTTTTTTCACCTTTTTAACATTTGCTTATCTCCACCCTGTCTCAAAACTCTGCCCCTGTTTATCTCACTTTCTGTTATTCTCCACTCTTGTGACAGCTTGTCGGTGACATTTGGTATTCTTATGCCGTCTCACTTCGAGTGTATGACACAAAATATGTCATCATAAATGTGTGTCTGTATCGCACACACACATGCTGCAGCCATTTATCAGCCACACACACTTCAAAGTGACTCAGCAGTTTTAAAAAAGAACAGTGGAAGAAAACAGCAGCTCTATTTTTGGTACACCTTAAACTCCTTTCTTCTCCTTCTCCGCCGCCGGATGCCGTTGGTTTTTAGTCTAACTGTCATTGGCAGGGCAGAGGTGACTCAGTGGGGATTAAATACGAGCTTTGCTAAAAATAAAAACATTAGAGGAGACAAAAGAGTGAAAGAAAAGAGAGTGGATGTAACGCTGTTTCCTACTTCTTTTTCAACATCACATCCTGGTGAGAGAAGTAGCGCTGGATTCCTCGCATAGCATCAGTCGACTGTCAAAGCACAAAGTGTTTAGCCTCATTGTCAGTGACATAGTGTGTGTGTGTGTGTGTGTGTGTGTGTGTGTGTGTGTGTGTGTGTGTGTGTGTGTGTGTGTGTGTGTGTGTGTGTGTGTGTGTGTGTGTGTGTGTGTGTGTGTGTGTGTGTGTGTGTGTGTGTGACTGTCATCAAGCGCTGTTCAGTCACACACACTTAAACACAGACGCCTGACTTCTTCTTGACAATTAGAATTAAATTCCAATGAGATCTCTCCTGGCATGCACACAAGATACAACGACATATTTATGAAGCAGGTTGTCTCACGACTATTCAAATACTATTGCCCTATCATTTTATAACATAGTTCTGTAACGCACCCTTTGATGGAAGTATATCAAGGGCTGCAAGGTTATTGTTTTACTTAATTTTATTGAATAATCATTACGTTTATAAACGGTTGGAAACTATTACATTCCTAGAGTTCGTAGAGCCTAGAGGTAAGGTCTACAAATTGCGATTTTATCCGACTAACCATAAAATTGCAGATGTTTAATTTGCAAATATGCAGAGTAGAGAGGAGCAAGAACCTGCTATTATTGATATGTTTGCTTTATAATTCACTTTAACCATTTGATTAAAGCAATAATAGCTGATACATTTTATGACACTGCGATTGATTAAAAATATATTTTTTAGCATATTTTATGCACAATTAACTGCAGTGTTTATTTATAACTTGCACCAGTCACATAACATCATGTCCTTTTTCAACAATTGCTATTTCAAAGGATGTAAATGTCATGGGACCGTACCGAATGCAAAGAAAACACATCATTCTTTGCGATTAACCTGCATTTCGGGGCCCGAAGTGTGAAATATCATAGCAAATGTCATGAAATTGCAATTTATACATGAAATGAATTTTTTTTTTTACATTAAATTGCAATCTGTGACTTAAAGGCAAGAAAAGGACAATATGGAAAACATTGCACAATGTGTCACACAGTTCAATTCAGCAACTTTAAAGCAGACAAACTGCATCAGCAAAGAGGAACAGTGACTCATATGCAGGGGTGTAATATAACAAAGACAACTAACTTAAGTATTTTTTAAATGCTTCTACTGACTAGTTCTGTTTTGTACTACTACTCCAATATATTTAGGCTCAAATATCATACATTTTACTCCACTACTATTATTTATCACTCCGAGTTACTAGTTACTTTAATAATAATAATACATTGATTTCAAAGCACCCGAGGACACCTCCATAAATCCATAAAATATTCTGAAAACTGTACAAAAGGCCAGTAACAGGGGACATGTAGCACTACAGTGAGTAGGCGGATCTGAACAGCTGGGTTTTTGAGGAGGGACTTGAATGCAGTGATTGTGTCAGACTGTCGGATGTGTTGGGGGGGAGTTTCAGAGTCTTGGAGCAGTGCAGCCAAAAGCCAGAGCACCCATGGTGACGAGGGGTGGGGTGGGGACGGTAAGTAGACCAGCCAGGGGGTTTAAGAGGTCGGCCAGATAGGTGGGGGCAAGGTTGTGGAGGGCTTTGAATGTGGGGAGGAGTTTTTTGTCCTCAATCCGGTGTTGTATAGAGAGCCAGTGCAGCCAAAAGCCAGAGCACCCATGGTGACGAGGGGTGGGGTGGGAACGGTAAGTAGACCAGCCAGGGGGTTTAAGAGGTCGGCCAGATAGGTGGGGGCAAGGTTGTGGAGGGCTTTGATTGTGGGGAGGAGGTTTTTGTCCTCAATCCGGTGTTGTATAGAGAGCCAGTGCAGTTGGATGGGGATGGGGGTGATGTGGTCAGAAGGCTTGGTGCGGGGGATGATCCGGGCAGAAGAGTTCTGAATGATTTGGACTTTATTTATATTGCAGTTTGATGGGAAGGCCAGAGAGGACAGCATTGCATTGCGTTAGCATTAATCATAACAACAACATAATGCAAATATGCTGCAGTACTACTACTGATATGATACCGTTCTACTTATCTACCCTGTATCATAACTAACATCGGCTCAACATTGATAAACTACAACGGTAAAACAATAGTAAATGTATTTATTGATGATAAAACTGAATATTATTCTGTTATACTGTGAAAAGAGTATTTTGCAAACTGAATACTTTCAAGTCTCAAAATACATTCAGCTGAAAGTACTTCTGTACTTCTACTTAAGTAACACTTTCAATCCAGGACTTGTAATGTATTTGAAGACCATAGTATTTCTACGTTTACTTATAGGATCTGAGTACGTCTTCCACCTCTGCTCCTATGTTTGTATCACCCTCAACAGACAGTAATGTACATGTTTTTGAACAATAATCTCCAAGCTCTGAAGTTTAAAGAGGTAAATGTAATCACTTTATTGAAATGATTTGTCATTACATGTTAAGGAAGATCGGTCCAAGTTGTTACCGTAAATCACATAAAAACTATTTGTTGGCACAGAAACAAAACCTTTTTTACAATGTTTAATCTTACTTGTAATATATGTATTCTAAGATTACACATGAATAAGAATAAATACAAACAAACAGCAAACAAATTATTCATAAACTAATTGAGCATAGTACATTTGAAGCTGTATTTTAAACAAAGTGTCTTCTGGTCACTCAGTAACCTTCACTGCTCCACACACACTAACTCACACACACATGCATTCGCTTTCCCTTTAGCACACGGTAAACATACTTAAAGTTTGCAGGTTTCCATGTGTTCAGACCCACGTTTCACACACAAACCCCTCCACACACACACTCCTGCACAGCGAGAGAGGGCTTTGTGAGTATCCTCAGAGTGTGTGGCCCAAATATTCCCAACACAATGTCCCTCTGTGTCTCTCTGCTAGATCTCTTCATGGGAATGGTGCCAACAACTGGAGCAAATCCTGAGGCATCTTCAGCGGAGAAAAACCTCGCCAATTCCTTCACAACCTCCCAAACACTTGTTTCCTTCCTCATCAGGTGTGTGTTGCTTTCACTAAGCCTGCACCTAGGCTGATAAGCTCTTATAAACGATTATGCCTTGGGTGTGTGTGTGTGAAGGTTTGTCCATTGGTGTGTGTGTGTGAGAGTTCTCCACAGTGTATAGGTCCAAATCTTCTTGTTTTATATAAGATTAGTTGTGGGATCAGGTGGAAGTGATTGATGAGCTCGTAGCAGCTGATTGGACGAGGCTTGTGATTGACAGATGGCATCACAGGGGAAATGGAAGGAATCTGTGACATAATGAGCAGTTCAGTTGTTCCTCGTCAGTGATTGGACACAGCAGGTGAGCGGTGTGAGGGGGCGGGGTTAAGACCTTTTATGACACCTGTGGGAGCGTTTGTGTTTGATTGACACGTCACGTCATTGGCAGTGGTAAATGGGCTGGACGTACTCCGGGGGGAAGTGGCCCACGTGTCCATGGCAACGGCCCCTCCAGCGCTGCGAATCAGAGCAGTCCATGAGTTCGATGACATCACCGCGCAGGAAGCGTAGCTGCGACGGGTGGTGGGGGGTGAAGTCAAAGAGAGCGTGGGCATGATGGGGACGCTGTGGGGAGAGAAAGAGAGACAGAGAGACAGAGTTACTGAAATGAACTTCATTTGTCCGTGGCGGTATGAAAAAAAAAGAAGTGTTCAGGTTAAGTGACATTGTGTCAATTTAATAAATTATGTTCTCTGTCTTTCTCTCAAAGTACAAGCATATTTTATTCATATCTTTCATTTAACATTTATTTAACCAAGTCATTGTCGGTCAGTCCATTCCTAGGCCTGTGAAATATTCATATGATGAGAAATGTCTGACCAAAACAGTAGCAACCGCACAGAGGAGGAAGACTAATATTAATTTCTGCTGAGTGATCTCAGTTATAAACATCATTACTGCAACGGTTCACCGAAATACTACCCTGTTGACAAGAGTGACAGCTAGGTTTTATATTGTTCTGGTATAAGATGATGGATTTCAAAAAATGATGTAATGTTTAGAAATCATCAAATGCTTGTTGAGGGTTATTTAAAGGAATAGTTCTACGTTTTGGGAAACACTTTTATTTCTCAAGAGATAAAAAGAAAGATTGATGCCATTTCGGTTGTGATGGTATCAATCTTATCATCGCTCGGCAAGAAAGCAATAACAGAATTTCCAAATATGTCTAACTATTGCTTAGAAGGAAGGAGGAAAAAGGTATATTTTGGTTGTGTAGCTTCAAGGGACATTTTGTAATGATGAAATCTAAAATTCCTTTCTCCCCGTTATGCTTATACCATCCTCTTATCCTAAAACTCAAGACATGACATTCTCAAACCTTTATTTTTCCACACCTGAGGACATACGTTTATTTTAAGTAGATAAATACATTTTGGATAAGAGATTATCTTTTAGATCACAGCTGCAGTTCACAGTTTAAACTGGTGAATGGGGTCTTATTCATAAAAAAAGCATCTTTATAAGCTCTGTTCATTGTTTTTGAAATAATGACAAAGTGATTTGAGGAGGTCATGAAAAAGAAAAAGAGGAATAGTGTAAGACATACAGAATGTGATGACGACACACATACTAAAAACAGCCCTCTGTTAAAATTGTGATTTTTAATGGTGAAAGGCGTACTGCTTTCAATTGAACCTGCAGATTTGGGCCTTCTCTGTCTCACTGTGTTCTTCTTTAAGTTTACAAAAGTAGTCTTTCTTCTCCCCTGATCGACAGCCTCCTCTGATCTCTGTTGACTCGTGAAGTAAAAGCAATTTAAGAGTAGCAGAATAAAAGTGGCTATTTTAAGAAATCTTGAACTAAACTAACCTCTTAGCTGTCAGTTGCACTCCGACAAAGAAACAATATATGAGCTGGGAGAAAGCCGAAAGACTGAAACGAATACCAATATTGTATTTTTTATATGTGTGTGTGTTTCTGGGCTTTGTTACTGCTGTGGAGTGCTTTGTGTTGGACCAAGGCCCTGTATAATGTCATCCAGGCACACACACAAACAAACACACTCTAAGCAGACAGCACGATTAGGATCAAGAGACACAAACACAATCTATCAATCCCACAAATCTGTAAAATCCTCGCATGCTTATCCGTTATTGTCTTGCTGATCTCGTCTAGACTTCTTTTTTGTGTGTGTGTTCACGCACACACCCTCTTCCTGTGTTTCTGGGTGTGAGCGAGCAAGTGTGTGCAGGCCCCTGTGTGCTCAAGTGTGTGTGTGTGACAGCACAGGGAAAACTCATTCATTTTCCACGGCAGTTCATGAGAAGCGATGGTTTGGAAAGAGAAATATGGTCGCCACGTATCAGCTGCGCTTGGCTGCCTTGTGATCAACGTCCTCTTCAGAGCCGCTCCGACCCCGAGCGAGCGCCTGACAGGGAAACAAATTACTCTGTAACAGCAATGGACTACGGCTTTATGATTTGTCTCAGAACACACACACACACACAGGCTGTATAAGGCAGACTCAAAATGCCTGTGACACTGCCTCTGTTTCCAGTTTAAGATGACACAGTGATAAAAAGAGGTCAACTTTTGCATGGCTTTCTGTTTGAGAAGAAAAGCTTTGGGACAAGTGGACATTAGGGATATGTTGGGATGGAGTGGAAGGGGGCGAGAAAAGAAAGTACTAAGAATATTTCCCCATCATGCGGTCATGAGATAAGAAGCGATCTAGTGCCAAGTATTTAACTGATACGGAATTAGTTTGGAAAAAACAACTTAACGATAAGACGTACGACACAACAAGCAACAAGAACTGAGATTACGTTTAAAGAGGACCCTATTATGCTAATTTTCAGGGTCATATTTGTGTTTTGTGCCTCCACTGTGACATGTTCACATGCTTTAATGTTCAAAACAAATGTATTTGTCTCATACTGCCTGTGCTGCAGCACCTCTTTTCACCCTCTGTCTGAAACCAGAGCCCAGTCTGCTCTGATTGGTTGGCTCTGTTGTGATTGGTCAACCACTGAGAGATGTCCTGCCCCTTAGCCAATCACGTGCCAAGGTGTTTGAGGGGTAGCCAATAGAAGCACAAGTGTTGCGTAGTGATGTCACCATGTTCTTGAAGTAAACAATGGAGGTGTTTCACGCACAAAACCTAAATAACACACTTCAGGAAAGTGGAAACTGACCAATAGAGTCATAAACTGAAATAGAGAGAAATCATATGGAGGTGGAAAAAAAACATATTGTTATGAAATATAATGCATAAGGTTTGCTACGTTTCTTTTTCATGCATTGATTTCAGAGTACAAGTCTTAAGAGGGTTATGCCAGAACTAGATTGTTATTGTTGTTGTGCTGTTAGTGTCACTGTCAATGTGAAGTGAAGATGAAATGGTGTGCTAGTAACTGAAGAAATGGGTTTACTATAAATATTTTAGATACAAGGTCGGAATAAGACAAAGCAAAAACAGAGAAACAAGTTCCTAAATAATTTGGCGGGAATTTAGGTATGAGGCAAAGGAAATGTCTGCATCTTAAAAAAAAGTTCTCATGTTTGCTTCTTGGTATTATAATGTGTGTAATTTCGCTAATGGAGTGTAGACTGTGTTACACATGATGTCAGTGAGAGACATTGAGTAGGCGTTTGACTTTTGAAGAAGCCGAGGGCTAAATTGAAGCCCCACAGAGAGCAGCTGACCGTTCTTTATATATAATGACAGAGTTGGGATCCTGGCAAAATATTATGTTATGTGTCTAATGTGTTTGTAATTTGTAGACCTAACTTGAATTGAATTGCCGTTTACCATGATATGCTATACATCTTAAGGTGATGAAGAAAAGGTAGGTTGGAGTTAAGAAACTTTCATTATAAAATGAATTAAATAGGAAGCAGTTAAAAAATAACAACTTTAAACGATACAAGGTTAGCATTATTAAAACTGGAATTATTCCAAGTCTATTAGGAGCCTAAGGTGTGATAGGACCTAATCTAACTTTTTTATTGTTAATTATTGTCTGTTTGGGATAGTGGTGGTCTAATGGATAGTGAGGTGGGCTGGTGATCAGAAGGTTGCGAGTTCAAACACCACCACTAGTGTGCCCTTGAGTAAGGCACTTAGCCCTTAGTTACTCCAGGGAGAATGTCCCTGTAATTGGTAATTGTAAGTCGCTTTGGATAAAAGCGTCAGCTAAATTAAATGTAATGTAATGTAATTATAGCAACCTGAAATGTACACTTTACTCTTAAAAGCTCCCATTAAAAGAGTTGGAACAGAAACAAGGCTACAGATATAAAGGAATGAGTAAGCTGCTGTGATCTGAACGGAACGACTAATTTTTTCCCAAGGCTACAGAGACATGAAGGTAAACACGGCCCGTCAGCACGCCACCCTCAGCTTTGGGGCATGTTGTGGTGCTGATACAAATTACCTCAAGACCATGCCAAAGCAACAGTGTGACCCACAGTAGAAGAAAAGTCACAGCCTGCATGCTAACGTTGTAATCATAACAGCACACTACATATATACAGTGTCCATACAGTATTTATATAGTATCGCAATACTACTTGGTACAAGTGTTTGTCCACCATTTTAAAGTCAAAACTGCCCCACCAAAAGAAAAGCTGCCTAAAGATAGGTCAACCCTTTGAGAAACTCTATAAATCCACCTACCATAATAACATATTGAGACTTGCGGACGACATTCTAACGTCTCTAAACACCCAAACATTTGCTGAACAAATATTAATTGTGACCATAACATCAAAGGTACAATGTCCCAAGATTGTATAAGGCTTTTACCTCAATATGTTCACTCCACTAATGGACACAAAATACAGTTTTCGGATCGTACAGCCCTGTATGTGAAAAAGCCCCACTGGCATTCAACCCTTATTATATTTCCAAATGAATATAGGAACATCAAGGTGACCTATGACCACATCAGTGAGACCTGAGGCGGAAAGTACCAGCTTGATGGACCTTTAATGAGCATCCTCCTCATGTAACAGCATCACTTCAGGGTAAATCTTAGTACACAATATAAAGAGAGTTACTTTGTTCTGTATAAAGGAAGATCTACCAATAAGTGTGTACCCTTTAACTGAACAGCACGGCTTTAATTATTTTGGGTAGTTTATTTTGTTGGGATTCCAATATGGTTTCTTGATATAGCTGAAACGTCTTCAATGGACTGTATATGATTGGTTTCCATTTACATTTCACTTCGTAGTTGTTAGGTTAATATCAAATAACCAAAAGCACCTTCGAGACATACTTCCCAGTATATTTGTTGAGTGTTATTACTCAGAATTAGCAGTCTAAATATGAAATGAATCACAATAGATCTGTTGAGCAGCTGAGAGAAGGTGGGTGGGCTAGTCATATTCTCACTTCTCTAAAAAGCAACACCAGCCATTTTGATATCTTATTAAGAGACACAAATGACTGCTAATACCTAATAATTCATCAAGACAGGCAAACTGACTAACTTGGTAGTGCATCACATTAAAATGTAACAGAGAGAATAAATCAAGTATTGGATCGTCATCAAATTAACAAGTATCAACGTTCTGTTATGGTCTTAAATCTGCTTTATCCATAAAGCAGAGAAAGA